AAAGGAACAGAGAGGAGTTACAAAAGCAGTCAATAAATAATAAAATGACAATAATTATATACCTATCAATAGTTACTTCAAATGTAAATGGACTAAATTTACTAATCAAAAGACAGAGTGGCTGAATGAGTGAAAACAAAACAAAACAAGACCCACCTATATGATGTCTAAAAGAGAACCACATTAGATGTAAGGACACACAGACTAAAAGTAAAGGGATGGAAAATGAAATTTTTATATTTTCTTAATGTTTGCTTGCTCCATTTCCACCTACACATATGAGGAGGACCTCAAAAGAAAGGGCCACCCAACCATAAAATAAGGGGACAAATCATGAAGCAGAAATCAAACATAACAGTTTTGAAACAAAGAGAAAGAAATTTGAATCAGTGTTAAAACTCTAAATTCTTTTAGGTTACTAAAATAGGCTCTAACCAGCTGTTCTCAAACTTCAGCGTGTATCAGAATCACTTGGATATTATAGAATAGATAAATTCTGGACTCTACTCCACAGCTACTGAATCAGAATTTCCATGGGGACACACAGGAAACTGTCATTTTGAAAAGAGCTGCTTGGATATGTTTGAAGTAGATAATTTTTTAACATATTGAAAAACCAATGCTAGCTCAATTTCAATTATATTTCGTACTGATGACTTTATTACAAAAGAGGTCAAAAACATAACTTTAGTTAACCAATCAAACTTTGAATTCTTGGGGTGTCCGGGTGGCTCAATCAGTTAAGTGTCCAACCTTGGCTCAGGTTATGATCTCACAGTTTGTGAGTTCGAGCCCTGCATCAGGCTCTGTGCTTGGAGCCTACTTTGGATGCTGTATCTCCCTCTCTCTGTCCTCCCCTACTTTCATTCTTTTTCTCTCTGTCTTTTTCTGTCTTTCTCTCTGTTAAAAATAAAGATTAACAAAATATAAAAAGAAATTTTAAAACTTTGAATTCTTGATAATGTATCTTGGTTGTCCAAAGTTGGGTAATAATATATTGTAGATTGGCATAAATGTCTGGGGAACAAAGATCCCAACTCAGTACCCACACATAAAAGCCAACCTTTGATTACCGAGTATCTGTCTTTATGCTTTGCTATGTTGTGGGAAAAAAAGAGTAGATTTTGTTCATTACATAGACAATGTTTAAAAGTGTGAAAGACCGGAAGGAACTGATTCTTGTGGCACTATGGATTGAGAATGGTCTTAATGGAGACTGTAACACTCATATGATATTGTCTTGGTGAATAAATCATGAGAGGTTTAACAAGAAAGAAATCCACCTGGATTGCTAAGGCTGACATCAGAAGTGGTTGAAACACTACAGCAAAGAACCCAAACACAGCCAAGAATGAGCTGAAATCAATTTCATCCTTGGAGAAGCTAGATCAGTTAGCTCTTTATGCCAAAGTATTTACTAATTCTAAGGAAAAACTAGATATCTGAATAAATGATGCTGTGAATAGTCTGATTTCTGAGGAAAGGTGGAACATTGAGAAGAGTTCATTTGCCAATCCTATAGACCTACGCCAACTAATAGGATAGTCACTAATCATATGTGGTCTTTGCACTTGAAATGCGGTTACTACAATTGACACACTACATTTCTATTTTTATTTCCTTTTAATTAATTTCAATTTGAATATAAAACTGAATATCCACATGAAAAAAATAATTACAAAACTCTTAATATAGACCTTACATCCTTGATAAAAATTAACTCAAAATGGATCACAGATCTAAATGTAAAATGCAAACCTATAAAACTCCTAGAATGTAATATAAAAAAATCAAAACTACCTTGGGTTGAGCAATAACTTTTGAGATAACACCAAAGGCACGATCCATAAAAGAAAGAATGGATGAGCTGAGCTTCATTTAAAGTGAAAACTTCTGATCTGTTAAAGACACTATCAAGGGAATGATAAAAAAAAGCTACAGACTAGGAGAAAATACTTGCAGAAGCTATAACTCACAAAGGGACTATTATCCAAAGCATAGAAAGAACTCTTGAAAGTCAACAATAAGAAAAAAAAAACTGATCAAAAATAGGCAAAAGATGTGAAGAAATACCTCACTAAAGAAGATATACATATATGTAATATGTATGTATTATACACACACACACGTCATCATATATCATCAGGGAAATGCAAATTAAGACAACAATAAGCTGTGACTACATACCTATTAGAATGTCCAAAATCTTGAACACTGATAACACCACATGCTGATGAAGATGTAGAGCAACAGGAACTCTCATTCACTGCTGGTGGGAATGCAAAATGGTACAGCCATTTTGGAAGACAGTTTACAGAACTAAACAGACTCACCATAAGACCTAGCAATACACTCCTGGGTATTTACCCAAAAGAGGTTAAAACTCACTTATTTCCATAAACAAACCTACACAGATGTTTACAGCAGCTTTATTCATAATTGCAAAACTTGGAAGCAACCAAGATGTCTTCCAGTAGGTAAATGGATAAATCGGCACATCCAGACAAGGGAATACTATTCATCACGAAAAGGAATTGGCCTATCAAGTCATAAGAAGACATAGAGGAAACTTAAATTCATATTACTAAGGGAAACAAGCCAATCTGAAAAGGCTGCATACTGTATAATTCCAATTATATGATGTTCTAGAAAAGGAAAAACTATGGAGACAGTAAAAGGATCAGCGGTTACCAGGAACCGTGTGGAGGGAGGGATAAATAAGTAGAACAGCAAAGATCTTTAAGGCAATAAAACTACTCTGTGTGAAACTGCAATGGCATATATGTGCCATTATACACCTGTCCAAATCTTACAATACCAAGAGTAGGCCCTAATCCGAAATATGGTCTTTGGGTGACAATGATGTGTCAGTGTAAACCCCTCACTCGCAGTTAATGTATCACTATGGTGGTAGGTAGTGATAATAGGGAGGCTATTCATGTGTGGGATCAGGAGTATATGAAAAATCTCTGTACCTTCCGCTTAAGTTTGTTGTGAACCTAAAGCCATTCTAAAAATGTCTATTTTAAAAAAACTCCATCTTAAATCTGATGCGTATGTGATTTAGCTATTATAAAACCTTTAATTATGTTTGAACACTCAATTATATAAATCTTTGTTTTCAAATACTCACAAAATATATAAATACAGATCAAGCATATTCAGTGACAATTTAGTGTTCTAAGTGAGAGATGCTGTAAGTAGAAAAGACACACTCGGTTTTGAAATATTAGTATGAGAAAAAGAAGATAAACTATCTCAATAATTTTAATACTGAGTATACATTGAAATATTATTATTTGGCTATATATGGGTAAATATGGTTAAAATATTATAAAAATAATTTCATTTGTTTCTTTTTACTTTTTAAAATGTAGATGCTAGTACATTTAAAATGAGTCAGGTGGCATGCATTCCATTTCCATTGGACAGAAATGCATAGGTAACTTTTAATAAGGTAGACAACTATTAATAAATTGTTGCATATGTAAGTCATATCTAATTTGCTACGTATTTTTGCCATTACATTGTCTATTGAAACAGAACAGAGAATCTTGCATGTGTAACTATGATTTAGGTTCCATAAGGAAACTGAGGATTGTTATTTGCACACAAAGAGACCTGGAAGCAAAAGATACTTTTTTGAACTCATAACAAAAGGGTATTTCTGGAAGATGGCCTCAAAGGAATAAAGCTACTGTGTCTGCCAGCATCTACTAGTCTTCCACTGTCCCCAAACACCAAAAGGGAAAACACAGACATAGGCAGAAAGACTAAACTCATGATTCATTTAAAAGGACCTAATAACTTGAGGAAGAAGATAAAGATGAGCAACTAGAAACTGCATAAAAAAGCATTTTCTGAGAACCGATCTTCTTTGTGATAAGATGCAAATAATTAAAATTCTTATACTAAAGTTCTGAAAGGTAAAGCAGATGAAAATGACTTTTCAGAAAGCTATGCAAAAAGATCAGAACTCTCCTATATTCAACATTTCATTACTCGACAACTTCAAAATTATTTTGAAAACAGAGAAAGAAAAGTTGGGGGCTTTCATTAAAAGCCTAGTTCTAAGGTAAATATCATTATGTAATCCATAGAAGCCAATACAAGTTGGAAATCTAATCAAATTTATTCTTTAGTAGAAAAATAATATGTGGCATTTTGTGATGTAATCATTCATTCAAAATACATTTACTCAATATCTCAATGTAAAAAATGTCATGTCAAATGTTTTGGAGACTGTAAAAGTGAGCTATGTAAAAGCACTTCCCTCAACTACTAAAAAAACATCTATTCTCAGAAAATACTCTTTTCAGATTTTATACATACTACCCTTCTAAATTCCTTGTCTTAGATTATGCTCATGCTCCTAGATTCCAGCTTCTCTTGCATGGCTCTGTATTTTTCGATTAGGTAATTGAAGATTTCCTTTACTAATCCACAGACCACTCCTCTCTGGTATCCTGATGAATCTCAGCCACCCACTTTCTACTCACATGATCCTTCATCCTCACACACAACAGCACATGAGAGAGGAACCCCAACAGTTAAGGACCCCGTGCAGTGCACTGTCAGTGCACTGTCAGTCTAAGGTGGAAATAAATGGAAGTGAAAGTAGTCTGACTTAATCATGTCAAATGAGAAACCCCTTGCTCTTCACTCTCTGATTCTTATACCTCTAAAAAACATACAAAGAAAACAAAGGTACCATTTTCAAAAGTGATCTACCAAAAACCCAAATGGAAATGTATATGCTAAACAGAACATGCTAACAAATCTAATTGAGAAATAGTTTTTCTAATTGTTGGAATTATGATTATAATCATTCTTTCCTGACCCCTCACCTTGAGTGATGGATGAATAAAGTATGAAATACAGTTGCTTCAAAAAAAAAAAAAAAGCTCACCTGTTATAAAAGCTAAAAGCATGGAATTAGTATAGCATCTGGCAGATATTTATTAATCATGCCAACTAAAACAGATGGGAAGTCAAGCATTAAAATCTGTTTTCTACGGCCTAGAATGACAATGAACAATAGGTCAAATATTACACTAAGAGTGGTAATTGTCCTTTATATAGGAAGAAAAAATGGGTATCTTCAAATTTTCCTTGTTTGAATATTCTCTCTCCACAAGAATCCAGATGACTTTATATACTTTTTAATTTACATGATAAAGTATTTTGAAAAGTTGGTCATGAAATTTTCATCCTAGAAAAATAACAAGGATGGGAGTTAAAGAATAGCATTCTACCTTATAATTCATATCTTAGAACACCAATTCCCCAATACTATCTACAGATCCAAGGACTATAGAGTAAATATGAAACTATTTTGAATATCAGAGAAGTATAGACATATATACACACATAAATATACAGGGTTTATTTATATGACATACAGCATTATGCTCATAAGTCTTAATCCACTGTAAGAATTTAGCCTTCTAAATCTTCAATGTCATTTCTGGTTCTTGGCTTCCTTTCCTGGTTGCTCAGTCTCTGACTCAGACCCCCCACTTCTTGGAACATCCAAATCTCATTGCAATTCATCCACCAACTTTGCAGTCTTTAATAACACTGTTCTTTTTTATTGTAAGTTTAAACAGGTTTCACTTTAATGTGTAATGATCTCATAACCTCTTGAACCTCCAAATTAAAGTAAAATGTATGTTTTTGCCATCAGAGTGACATAAAAAATAAGCACCTGCCATTTTCAGGGTTGTTCAACCACGGTTAGACTAGTTAGAAATCTGAAAACTCTCAAATGGTTAGGTCAGAGCAGTGAGAGTAGTCATCTTCCCAAGTATACTATAATGATCCTTGGGGCAGCAGAAATAACAGAGATGCCAAGAGGTGGTTTCTAAGTCCTGCAAAAATCTAAAACTGAATGAGTACATTATTAAAATCCACAGATGAAGTCCTGAGAACAATTTAGGATGGAATATTCTTAAGTAAAAAATAATGTGGTAGGAACCCCTTAGGTCATAGAATTTCATAGATAGTTGATGATTGAAAAACTTTTTATCCAAGTGTTGGGAATAATATGGGACATTGAAGGACTGGTAGTTCTTATGGACTGTGTCAAACTTATATGTTGAAATCTAACCTCCAATCTGATGGTATTAGGGGGTGGTTGGTTCTGTATTTTTGGATAAGGTAACTGAAGATTATCATAAGGGCCATTGGGAGGTAATAAGGTCATAAGGGTGAAACCCTTTTGAGTGGGTTTAGTGTCCTTACAAGAAGAAGATGAGAACTAGCTCTCTTTCTGCCATGTGAGGATACAACTAGAAATTGGCAGCCTATAGCCCAGAAGAGAGATTTCATCAGAACATGATCATGCTATCACCCTGTTTCGGGCTTTCAACCACCAGAACCTTAAAAATAACTATCTGTTGTTTAAACTAAAAAGAAAGGAAGAAAGGAAGGAAGGAAGGAAAGAAGGAAGTGAGGGAGGGAGGGAGGAGTTAGAGAAAAGAATAAACATTATCCCATTTATAAAAATTCTTCAACATGTAAGTTTCAGTGGTATGATGGGAGCTAAAATTAGATCCGAAGTGTTGTAAGATAATGGATATCAATGAAATGGACACTGTGAACACTGATCATTCAATGTAAAAGTCTGCCAGTGAAAGAAAGGCAAATTTTAAGAAGGTAGGAAATATTTCAAAGAAAATCTTTCAAAGAAAATATTTGCTTTTCTCATAAAGAGCTTCCTTTTTTTTTTAAAGGTATATTTGAGGGCAGAAAACATGAAAGCAAAGGAGTAAGAGACTGAACATGATGAAATTGATAAGTATGCAAGCAAATTTCTTGGAACGAATCCCTGCTTCCTCCATTTCCACATTGCAACGACTCTGCTGCAGCCTGCCACCATGGTTTTAGGCAGAAAACAACGTTGGAACTGCTTCCACTGGCTCATCAATTTACTTATGAAGCTTATCTTGCCTAGCAGAAAATCACTAATTTATTCATATTTGAAATATAAATGAACTTTTAGTGACTATTAAGTTATTAACATGTTATTTTTTCAATTATGTGTACAATTTACAAAGGAAAAGAAGGGGGGTGTTTAGTGGGGGGATGGGCTAAATGAGAGTTGGGCATTAAGGAGGGCACTGGGGAGGAGCACTAGGTGCCCACTGGGTGGGAAGTGATGAATCACTAAATTGTACTCCCGAAACCATTATTACCCTATATGCTAACCAACTTGGATTTAAATAAAATTTAAAAAATAGAGAAGAAAAAATAAAAACACAAAATAAAACAATATGTTAATAGCATTATCAACTTTCCATGTAATTAGAATGAAAATATGAAAATAATATAAACATATTTTAAATTAAAAAGAAGAAAAGTCTAAATCTGAAGAAATGATTTTTTTTTAAATATTTTTATTTATTTCTAGGAGAGAGAGAGAGAGAGACAGCGTGAGCAGGGGAGGGTCAGAGAGAGAGGGAGTCACAGACTGAAACAGGCTCCAGGCTCTGAGCTGGCAGTCAGCACAGAGCCCGACGCGGGGCTCGAACCCACGAACCGCGAGATCATGACCTAAGCGAAAGTCGGACGCTTAACCCACTAAGCCACCCAGGCGCCCCAGAAATGATTCTCTAATGGGAATTTTGAACCCTGAAATAATCACGCAGGCCAATAAGAAGGGATTGTGTTGGATGAGAAGGCAGGGGAAGAGAGAGGACTTCCCCAAACTACTCATAACACGTAATTATTCATAACACATGTATTCTATGAAACTCAGATACCTCATCTATTTTACCTCTTAGAATCACCTACTTTTTAAAAATTTTTGTTTAAATGTTTATTTATATTTGAGAGAGACAGAGTGCAAGCAGAGGGGGCACAGAGAGAGAGAGGGAGACAAAGAATCTGAAGCAGGCTCCAGGCTCTGAGCTGTCAGCACAGAGCCCCACGCAGGGCTCGAATCCACGAACCGTGAGATTATGACCTGAGCTGAAGTCAGACGCTTAACCAACTGAGCCACCCAGGTACCTCAGAATCACCTACTTTTATGTTATCTATTTTCTGTCTTGTTACTATGTAATTCCTGATATATTAAGGAATTTGGTAGCCACAAATTAAAGAATATTCAGCATTAGACGTCAACCTTATTATCTGCTAAATTAGAAGAAATGGCATTTAGAGAGTAAAATTATTATTTTAAAATTAAAACTATATAAAATATTTTGCCTCCTCCTATGTAAGAAATTCTAATCTTAGCCATATTTCTTGTAATGTTTAACATGAAAGAAGGTAGAAGAAGAAAGCCAATAGTGGTTCATCTGGTTTTCTGATTATGTGGTATCTGATGTGCTTTTCAATGCCTTGAGCTTCCTCTGAATTGACAGAACACATAAGCAAAATTTTTAGACAAAATTCGGAGTGAAGTTTGATAAATGTGAAATAGTTCCAGTTAAATAAAATCAGTATCTGTTTTGATATATCAGACCATAACAGAAAACAGTGTATTAAATCCTTATATATTTTATTAGTTAAATATTTATTTTCAAATAGCAATAAGGTTTTTGAAATTCAGAATAACTTAGTCTATGGAAACTTTTCCACTGTTGATTTTTATTTTGTTATATCTCAGTGTTTTACTCCACCACCTTGATTTTTTTTTAAGTTATTTCTTTGTGACAATGTCTATGATTTTTATCCACATGAAAAGTTTCTCATAGCTTTCCCTCAATCCTAACTTTTACCCTCAAATAAAACACAAGGGGAAAAAAACTGCTCAGTTGGTTTTCTGGGCTCTCACAACACCACATATATGGTGTTAATCTCTTAAAGTCAGCAAACTGTTGATGTATGAAAAACAATATTCTCCAAGTGCAGAGGGTCAAGTAGTGGAAAGATACTTAAAATGATACAGAAGGCCCATGTTTCTACTACAAAAAGAATTACTGAACTGCTGTTTGCAAAGCTCTGTTTTTGTATGTAACTTTTCTTGGCAACAGATGCAGTATTTATAGTAAAGTCTATCACCGTTTATTAATGTTATACATTAGAGTTATTTGCTACTCTAAAAATGATATGCTAAAATATGCCGAAGCATTTTTAAATAAAACAAGAAAAATGAACTGACAATTTATTAATTGCATTTCATTGTTTCATAATAGAACATGATAAACCTTGAAGAAAACAACATAAATATATCAATTCCATTTAGCATAATTGTTCTAACCATTTATAATGAAGTCTCCAGAGAGTTCTTTTCTACTCATTTTTCCTAAAATTGCAAGAGATTTTCTCCTTTCTTTATTTCCTCCTGCCATTGTTTAAAACAGTTGCTTTCCAGTAATTTATAGGCATGCAGAGAATAAAGCAATCACCTAAATATGCATGTGTCCAGAGCACCGAAAAACAACTTGCTAATTGGAATCTTTCAACTAAATGTCATTTGGGAAATCTTGCTGCAGGTATAGTGCATCGTGTATACTGCTTGTGGCAAGACTAAATAGTTCAAAAGACTAGTCTCAAAGTTCTAATAAGATACTAAAAGAGGTGCATTATTAAATGTACACCAGTGACTCAGCTTACCATAAGAAGCAATTCTGCCGTATGTATTAGGTACTATTTTTTGAAGGAATGCATAATACATCTGCTTCAGCTTTAAGGAACACTAAACAAGTCAACACTGAGTTAGATATAGGGTCAACAGTCATGTTTTCTGTTAAAGACACATGGAGGAAGAGAGTTCATTTACATAAAAATTTATCATTTAATGGCCATAAATTCTTTGACTGTATGCTTATGTTTTTGTTTTTGATAGTTCCAGAAACATCAAAGAGGTGCACCTTCATCCTTAATGGGAGTGACTAGTCTTTATTTTCATACCAAGAGAGCAGAAACAGGCCTGGCAGCAACGCAAGAGAGCAAGGAGACACAACTGTGTTAGAAAATCCAGGGGTGTCTGGGTGGCTCAGTCAGTTGAGCGTCCAACTTCTGCTCAGTTCGTGGGTTCGAGCCCCACATCAGGCTCTGTGCTAGCAGCTCAGAGCCTAGAGCCTGCCTCAGATTCTGTGTCTGTGTCTACCTCTCCTGCTTGTGCTCTCTCTCTCTCTCTCTCAAAAAAAAAAAAAAAAAAGACTAAAAAGAAAAAAGAAAAAGAAAATTCAGCATACAAGAAAGTCAGTCACACGCCGAAGCATAGAGGAGATGGATAGCCACGTGGGAAACAATAAAAATAGATCAATTCTTTACATTAGACATCGGGATAAGTTCTGAAAGGATTAGAGAGTTGGCTGTCACAATAAATTAATATAGCAAAACAAGTACTAAGAGAAACATAAATTAACTGCTCCGTAATTTGTCTTTGCGGAAATCTTTCCTAACTATAATTCAAAATCCAGGAGGAATAAAGGGAAAATGGCTAATCTTACTAAATTTTAAGAATACTTCCCAAGGCAAAAACACCCTAAGCAAAGTAAAAAGACAAATTGGAGGGAAGGGGGGATTGCAATCATATCACAAAGGGGTAGTGTCCTTAATATATTATTAACCTCAAATAATAGTGACAAAAAAGGACCCAAATTCTAAATGGTCTATGGCTTTCAACAATATTTAGTCTTTCTTAAAACTGAAGACCACTTCTCACCTATCAGAATGGATACAATACCAAAGTCTGAAAACGTAAGGTATAGATGAGGGTGTGGGGGACTGCACTGTAATACATTGCAGTCAGAATGCAAAAAGCATAACCCATAAAGAGAAGAATTGGCAATATGTAACAAAAATTCATATATATTTACCCTTTAAGCTAGCAATCCCACTTCTAGGAAGCCATTCCAAAATATACAGAAGTTGGTTTATTATAGCATGCTTTGCAATAAATAGCAAAAGACTTGAAACAAAGCATATGTCCATCAAATTGGGAAGAAGTATGTATATCAACACAAGGGAGCAATGTGCAGCTCTGAAAGATGATGAAGAATATCCTTCTATATTACTATGGTGTGATCTCCAAGAAAGGTGAAAAATATCAAGGTGAAAAACAGCATATGTAGTATGCTATTTATTTAAGGAAGTGAATATATGTACGTATATTATTATAAAATTTACATTACAATATTATAGCAATTAGTAACTAGTAACACAAGTGTATAACTTTGACATTATAAAATCATAGTAATATAAAACTTATTTATAAAATAAAAAATATATACTATAAAAACAACAACAAAGTTAAATACATAATGATTTTCCTAGGAGAAAAGGGAATAGAAAGGACAGGGATTAAAAATAACATTTCTGAATACACTGCTCTGTAAATTTCAAATTTGACTTTGAAGCCACCTATATATTTTAAATAATGTTAAAGTAAGATCAATTTTAAAAAGCAATTTTCTAACTCCTAAAAGTCAAAGTAAAATCCATGTATCAAATTATACCACAAAATACAAAGAAGAACTATTCCAACTAACCTGTAATATTACCAAACGTTCCTGGTGGGATATACTCTAAACGTAACTAAGCAGAAAAAAAAAAATTAATTTGTTTTCAGTTAATGACTGTCAATATCATTATACTGCAATTGTTAAGTATGTATTGTGAACTAAAGCAAATGGGTAATTTTAACAGTATTCTGGAGAAACAAAGCTTTAAACACAGAATTAACAAAATGTAATCACAAGATCAATAAGGTTAAGTAAAATCCCCACAGTCTTGACTATAGATTGTTGTTATCGAAAAGGATTTATGATTACATATACACAAGGGATTTAGGTATTTCCTACTTCTGTCCACCAAAAGATTTGAAACCGTGAATAACCTAGTAACAATGTGCACACCTAGCCCCTGGTCTTTAATTGCAAGACTTGGAGAAATAGCTAGTTCTAGATGACAGACAAAAAATGTACAATATGAACCTGGATCGTTTTACGTACCAAAAAAGCAAGTTTCTATTGGGGTTATCTGAATGGAGTCAAGAGCTAAGATAAAAAAAGGCTACTATTGGCCAAAGACTAGATGATCTGAGCATGTAGTAAAGATAATGACTGCTATGAATTGAAACATATGACATATGTTTAAATCCATCATTTTGCAAAGACTATTAAAACACACAAATTTTTTAAACTTTATTGTTCTCCTTCTGAGTACATTAATGAGTGACTCATTTTTTACAGCTGGTAAATAAAGTAAAAGATAAAGCAGGTGTAACCAACTTTCCCATACCAACTGCAATTGAGGATCACCAAACAGTGAGGGTAATTGTATCATTAAAAAATCACTCAGTTAATAAATGAAAAGAAAATGATAAAATAACATATCACAATCATATCCTAATTAAATATGAATCTGAGCAATGATCATCAACTGCTATAACATCACAAAAGTTAACTAGACACTATATGCTTCCTAAAGGAAGTACCCGAACCTACCTACGAAGTATTCTTGCCAAAAACAAACAACTCACCCATGAACCTCTTATGGACACACTTCTTGCCTCCTCTTCCCATCTGTGTTTTCTCCCATCATCTGTGGAAATCAACAACCCTCAATCACTAACCTGAGGGTCAACCTGGACCCTTTCCCTCTTATGATGTGTTTTCATTCATTTCTTTTAATTTTTTCCCTAAACATTATCTCTCTTCCCTGTTTCCACCCTTCTGTTGCCAGGAGTCCCAGCAATGCAAACTTTGCTTTTAAAGCCCAACAGAAGAGGGATTGGAAGTTAACACCAGTGGAAACTAGGCCCCCAGGGCTTTGTTTATGGGATGTGAGGAAGAGGAGCTAGAGCCAGAGCATGGTCAGCAGTGCAGCTGAGGACTCTGGTCAAAGATTATCAGATGGTGGATAAAACAAATACACTTCCTATGAACCCACATTCAGTCTCAGGTCCAGGGCCCATCATTACTCATACTTCTGAGCACCCGTCTCTATCTACTAGGATGGGCACAGACAAGGAATAAGACGAGGAAGACTCCTGATACACTCATTGCTCACAATGAATAAAATACCCTCGAGGGTAGAAATTATGTCCTCCTAGATCTTTGTAGCACATGCATCACATCACGTAGTACATTGCTGGGTATGATTGTAAACATTCAGTAACTAATAAGCAGACATATGACAATGTAACCAAATAAACAGATAATTACAAATGGGAAAAAAAGTGTGTACTACTGAAGTTCTTCACATTCACTGAAGATGTACTTGTTAAATTGCAACGTTAATATTTTGTTTAAAAATCTAGAGCCTAAAGAAAAAGGCTGAGACTAAAGGAGTTAAGCATACCACTTAAGAAGTTAGAAAAAGAACCACAAAATAAATCCAAAGAGAACTGAAGAAAGGACTCATGAACATAAAAGCAAAAATCCCCAAAATAGAGAAACTAAGATGCATTAGAGTAGAAGCAAACCTGGTGTATTTAAAAGCCAGAGTAGATCTTTTCTTTCAACAATGCCCTCCTCTCTGTGATAAAATAATCAGTAATAATTATGAAATTAAATATCTAATAATAATGTCCATAAAAGACAGAAGGTGAATATTTTTTAATGTTTATTTATTTTTGAGAGACAGAGAAAGAGAGAGAGAGAGAGAGAGAGAGAAATTTTTAAAGGAAATTTTTTTTTAATGTTTCATTTATTTCTAGGAGAGAGAGAGAGAGACAGCGTGAGCAGGGGAGGGTCAGAGAGAGAGGGAGTCACAGACTGAAACAGGCTCCAGGCTCAGAGCTGGCAGTCAACACAGAGCCAGACGCGGGGCTAGAACCCACGAACCGCGAGATCATGACCTAAGCGAAAGTCGGACGCCCAACCGACTAAGCCACCCAGGCGCCCCCATTATTTATTTTTAATCTACTGCATAAACATAATAACATGTAAAACCATAGCAATTAGAGACACAAACTGTCTAAATTAAGACCTAACAAATCCAAATCATTGTGCATTTATCCCCTAAGTGAATGCAAACAACTGAGTCTGAATAAGTCACAGGAAGACTCTATAACTAGGAATTCTCCCATTAGCTTCGAGGATAATAATAAGGACACTGTACTTTGCAATTTACAACTATGTTTTCAAAACTCAGTAGCAACTTGATTGATTATTTAGCTTTCAGGCCAATAAAAGACTTTTTAAGTAGAGTATTTTATCCCTGATATTGCTTGTAATCACCAGTGCATGATGATCATATAAAAAAGCTTGTCAACATTTAGTCAGTTTTATCATTGCTTTTAAATTCTCTACAGACAACACACCTCTTAATTGCTGGTACCCAGGGAAGGCCACTGTCACCACCCACCCATCATGTGCCATTGCTGCAAAGACTAATATTTGAAAAGTCTAGTAAAATGGACAAATGCAAAAGTTTTGCAAAGAAGAGAAGGCACAAATAAATAATACGAGGAATAAAAAAAGGGAGACACAACTTCAAATAGCATAGCCACTAAAGAAGTAAGAAGAACACTGAACTGTATGACAATATGTCAGAAAACTTTAGATGAAATGAAAATACTCCATAAAATATAACATAAAAAGCAACTGAAAAAGAAAAATTTTATAGTCAATTAACTTGAATGTTTATTTTAATTTGCAGAAAAACACTAATCACCAAAGGTTAATGATAATTTATGCTAAACAAGGAACTGGGCATTCCAATCTTAAGCTAACTTAAAATACAAAATGAGGACAAACTTCCCAACTCATTCCATGAGATCAGCGTATCCTATTTACCAAAATCAGACAAGGACAGGAAGAAGAGAGAAAAGGCTAGTGTAATTTGTGAACATAAATTTTAAAAATCTAAACAAAATATTAACCAAATGAATACAGCAGCATACAAAAAATATATCACGGACATGTAGGATTTTTATGTCAACCATGTAAGAGTTATTTGGCATTCTTAATAGAAAATCCATATTATGATCTTTATATAAATGCAAAACAGTGTTTAAAAGTTCAATATGCATTCATGACTTTAAAAATACGCTTAAACTAGGAATAAAATATGACTTCCTTAAAAATTACCCTTGAAAAGCTTAGGGCAAACATCATTGTTAATGTGGGAACTTTGGAAGCATACCCTAAATTGAGCTACAATTTTTCTGGTTATACGTATAGTGAGTTTGGAAACCACCATACTGTTCTAAGTAAAAAGCTGAATATACAAAAAAAAAAAAAAATGACCAACTCTTGTCGGATCCATAAATGAGGAGAGGACACAGGGCAAAACTCTGCCTCTAAGTGTGATGAGACATGTATACACAAGGCATCCTGGTTTCCTTGATGCACAAGCAGAAACTGCCCCGGAACCAGTGTGAGAGGAAGAGAAACCTGAACTTCAACTGATAAATTGTAGCAGCTCAGGGTAGACAACCCTGAAAATTAAAAACTTCAGAGAGACCCAGTCTTTGGGGGTCCCTCACAATTCTGTGAGATTTACCTCCAGGACAACAATGAGATTCCCACAGTAAATATCAGAGAAAAATCTAGTCTAGCCCAGGCAGGGAGAGAAGAAAAGGAACCATTCTCAGACACTCCAGATAACTCTGCTCTCATAAAGGATACCCTCAGGAGAAACAGTTTAACCAGAGCGTAAACTGCTTGGGTATCATCAGAACTTAACAGAACTGGGGAAAGAAAATGCCCAATTACAGTCCACTCAGCGATTCTGTACCAAATAAAAGAGAAGAAAAATGGACCGAAGACCTTAACAGACATATCACCAGAGAAGGTACAGAGATAGCAAATAAGCATATGAAAAGATGCTTCACATCATGTATCATCAGGGAAATGCAAATTAAAACAACAATGAGATACCACTACATACCTATTAGAATGGCCAAAATCCAGAACAAAATCCAGAAGGCTGATAAGGGTGTAGAGTAATGGGAATGCTCATTTATTGCTGGTGGGAATGCAAAATAGAATAGACACTTTGGAAGAGAGTTTGTCAGTTTCTTACAAAACTAGAACTCATCCTACCATACTGTAATCATGCTCCCTGGTATTTACGCAAAAGAACTGAAAATTTATATCCATATAACAACCTGCACATCAGTGTTCACAGGGGCTTAATGCACAATTGTCAAAAATTGGAAGCAACCATGATGTCCTTCAGTAGGTGAATGGATAATTAAACTGTGGGACATCCAGACAATGGAATATTATTCAGCTCTAAAAAGAAATGATCTTTCAAGGCATGAAAAGACATGGAGAAAAAATGTAAGTATGCCTTCAAGGAGAAAGAAGCAGTGTGAAAAGGCTAATGCTGTATGCTTTAACTACATTATATTCTAGGAAATGCAAAACTACAGAGACAGCAAAAAGACCAGTAGCTGCCAGAGAGTGGTCAAAGAAGGGAGAAATAGATGAACATAAAGAGTATTTAGGGCAGTGAAATTACTGTGTATGAAACCATGATGGTGAATACATGTCATTTTGTACTTGGCCAAACTATAAAGTGTACATCAATAGTGAGCCATAATGTAAACTGTGATTTTTGGATGATGATTTATTAATATAATTTTATCAGTTGTAACATATGTACCACACTGGGGGAGGATGCTCATAATGGGGAAAGTTATGTTTATGTAGGAGCAGAGGATATATGGATTATTTCTGTACCTTCCTCTTAACCTTGCTGTGGATCTAATCTCTTCTAAAAATTCACATTTTCAAATTTTAAATTAAAAATATTTTTTAAATTTATATACACGTCCAAACCACATCTATCACCACACTAATAAAGATAAGAAACTGTACTTGGGTACAGTAACCAGATTAAGAAATGAAACTAAATGCCTAATACTTAGAAAAGCAGAAACAACATTGTCATTATTGCAGATGATACTTGTCTACATTGAAAATCCAAAATAAACTGTGAACAAATTATTAAAAATAAGTTTAGCACAGTGTCAGAATGCAAGTTAAATATGAAAGAATTTTGTTGTACATCAGAAACAAACTGATCATAATTTTATCAGAATATTAAAAGATATCATTATAATAGCAACCAACTATGTACACTAATGAGGAAGAAGTCAACAAAGATGTTTGAATAGTTTGTGGAGATCATTATAAAATTTATTGAAACATCTTAATGAATTTAATCAATTGAGAGATATACCAAGTTTAAATTAAATTTAGACACTTATTTTATAGGGATATCAGTTTCTCCAAATATATTTACAGATTCTTTATAAACTAAATAAATATCCCACTAGGATTTTTCAAAAGAACTTGACATCAAAATTTTGTTAGAAGAGCAAAGGACCAGGTAAAGCCAAAACATTCATAAACAAGATTAATGTGGAGAACTTTCCATCAAGATCTTGAGAATCATTATAAATTTCAAGTATTTAGAAGAGTATGATACTGGAAAAATGACAAAGAGATCAGTGGAACCAAATAAAAGCCAGTGTATAGATACATGTGTATATATGGAACTTTAATATATGACAGATGTGTTATTATAGAGGACTGTGAATATGAAGAACTATTCCCTAGAAGATGTTCAAAAACTTGTTTATTCAT